TTTTTATTCTTGTCTTCTTGGTGCCACCTTGATTTTTGTGCAGCTCCCACTGATGTCCATCTTTATGATTCACATAAGAAAATGCATCCTTAAGGCAAAAAATCTACCGTGTCAGCCAGTACCAGATTCACAACATCGCACTGAATTTGATATGCTAATCTATGGAGGTTTCACCTTACAGGCATCTGAATGTAGCTGCTACATCATTTAAGGTGGAATGGGAATGGAGAATAACAAGCTAATGTCAGTTTCATCTAGTCTCTCCGCTGTATGACACTCAGTTACAATCAGCAAAGTGGCAAATGAAAGCATTTTAAATATAGATGACACATCTCATTTATCTCATTATTACAGTATGTTTTTTTCCTACATCACTATGGACAGAGTCTCCTCTCAGCACCACACTGCACTCAGTCACATGGAACTAACCACTCTGATCTCGGTCAGGTCAGATTTACATGCTGGACCTGAGCACTGCGGCCAAGATGTCCACCTCCAGTCTTCTGCTTCATGAGCTGCTGTTGTAAATGTCTTAATTACTGTATATATTTATCTAGCTGTCCTAATGCAGATAAAGCAGACTCGCTTTACATGGACAGCATGTTAATGTTTTCCATGTTTACTGCAGTGAACTTGGATAAACAGATGAAAACTAAATCAAGAAAATTAATCAGGAAGAAACATGCAGATCTACCGTGACAGTAAACAAAATAGTTTAGAATGCCCCTTGGTCCTGCGTCCGGCCTTCAAACTAGCCCTTCTCTATTAAAAACAGCACATTGTGATGACTCATGAACTTCATTCTTTCTCTATTGCTGTAAAACACGGCCGTAGTTAATGTGCATATCAAACAGAGTGTTCAGAAAAAAGGATTTAGAGGAGAGTGAAAGGAGACAGAATGTAGAGGGAAGAGAGAATGAGAATATTTAGAGCTGGTAGATCAGAAGGGTGTTTATATTAGTGATGAATGAGGGCCTGTACTTTCATGAACTTCCTCCTTCACTGCACTGCACTGCACTCTCTCAGCCCTTCACATTTGGTCCTGCATGTGAAGAGATGATTAAATCAATTGTTTTATATATGAATAGTAGGAAAAATCCCCTTTAAAGGAGAATTTCACACATTTTCACACATTTTTCCAAATATTGCCTACATCGAAGATGGTTTCATTTGCTGCTGGTCATTCTTTGACATGCAAAGCTGGAACAAAAAGCGTATTTCTTCATTGAGTTTTTCTGGCTAAACTGGAGATAAAAGAACGTTTTTGTGAAAAACCAAATGTACACAGTTTTTACTCATCCCAGATGTAGTCGATCAGGCAAGACATGTCTAGTGTCCAAATTTTGCTTCTTTAGTTTTGCACTGGAGCCACAAGGCTAACGTTGCTAACAAACACTAGAAGTCAGTAGTCACCTAATTCTTTGTAAATACATTCTCGAAACTTCTCTCAACTTGCTCAAACTGCATCCAGGTCTTAAACCTCCACAGACTTACTGATGTGCTTTAGGATAGGGAATGCTTGACTATGTAGCTGAACGCTGGGGGAATTCCACAGATTTGTCCGAGTTTCTATATAATTCAATGGTTGAGATGTAAACAAAGTCGTTGAGAATGGTCTGATGTGAAATGTTTCTTTGAAGAGAAACTCTTTACAGTGGTGGTGATAGGAACCAGGGGTCATGATGTCCACCACAAAAATATAGCCATTTTACTTACTATCCAAAACCTTCAACTAAACCTACACGTCTTCTAAGATTTTATATATGATGGTAATAATAATAAAATAGTGGTAAATCTAAAAAACTCTTGTCCAAGAGTTTTGAACGTACAGTATAATGATGCATCTCGATTTTTAAAGATTTTTATGTTTCTAAACAATTTAAAAATGGCAGCTGCCAGCTATATGCAGCTATCACCATGTCCTGAGATATCTTAAGACATGTCTGAAAACACACTTATTAAATACCTCTTAAGGCAGGTCTTAAGAAATGAAGACATCTATAAGGCATGTTTACAGACACAGTCTTAAGGTGTCTCAAGATGCATATTATTTATTTTTTAATACAGGGTAGCCACAAAATTTAAAAAGTCATACATTTACTTTAGCCATTCTTTATACTTTACATACCTTTTCAAGGTACTTACCCTTAAAAGCAATTACTGTTTTTTTTTTACAATTACTATTTTACATTGTATAAAACAATTAATGATGAATAGACCAATAGGAATACTCCAGAATCATTTCAATAAAACTTTCTTACAATAACTTACATTACCAATTTGGAGACATTTTTTTGACTGCAGTGACTTAAGAATGAACCTTGTTCACTTTAGGAGCTACACCTACCTTAAAGGTCACTATCTGTTGTCACGTATGATTTGTTAGTCTCCCTCTACCTCGTTCATCTTTGGTTTCTGACCAGCAGACTACAGCAGACACATATGATCTGAGAGGTGGACCACTCTCAGCTCAGCAGAGACACTGATGTGGTAGTGTGTGTGGTGCTGGTATGAGTGTTTTGGACACACCTGGAGTTTTACACGTCAGTGTCACTGCTGGGCCCACCACCCGAAAATGTCCAACCAAGGGCGGCTCCTGTGGCCAGAAACTGACTGCTGATGAAAAACTAGAGGATGGCTAACACAAACTGAACACCAACAGATGGGCTTCAGTTTCTAACCGTAGACCAATAAGGTGGAAGTAGAATGTAGGGGTTTCTAATAAAGTGGGCAGTGAGTGTAAATGAATACATGTAGACAAAATTCATAACTTGTGTTCACTGCATGTAAAATACGCAGTGCATGATTAAAAAACAACTAGACAACTATGAGTACTAAAATCCATTAGCCTCTTTTTCTTCTGTGTTCAGTGTTCAGTGTTTACTGCCACACTGTGGTGAAACAGATGCATTGCATTGCTCTCTTGTACTGGCAGTGAGCTTGGAGAAATCAGCTTGGTCTAGCTTTGCTTAGCACCCAGAGTGAAAACATCCTTGCAGGCATGTCTTCATTCATTCATTCATTCACTCACAGAGCTCGTCGCTGTAGTCTGCTGTGCCTCTACAGAGCTGCAGGTTAGCGAGCTCAGGGCCCTGTCACCCTGATGAAGCAAACAGGGCTGAACTGGACACAAGCAACAGCTCCTCTCTGGCAAGAGAGCCATATGCAGCTATTTGAGGTTAGGCGCTGTCAGCACAGTTATAGCCTGGGGCTGAGCCTCCATGGGACAGAGCACATTACAGATGATGAGAGGAAAAGGATGTGGCTCTGGAGCTCACTCAGATGAGATGAAGAAAACAACGAGCACGCATTTTGCTACTACTAAGTCCACTACAGCATGAACCTATCCAGCAAAACATCTGATATTGTCAGTAATTTACACTCAGCTGAACAAGCTAAACATGGCATTTTTTTTCTTCAGATTCACCAATATTTTCCACAACTGTGCCACTATAAACATTACATATAAAAACTCATAAGACACGTGTATGATCACTAGTTGTTCTGGATAGCAAATAAAATAAAATGACTGTATGGCTAATGACTGGATTAAGTCATGGCCATGACTTAGTAAGGCGTGAGAACAACATCCTAATGCGTGGCCACGACTTAGTAAGGCATGATCTCGTTACCATGCCTTACTAAGTCGTGGCCATGACTTAAGTATCTCTTTCCTATGCCTTGCTAAGTCGTGGTCACACATTAGGATTTCGTTTCCACTCCTTAATAAGCCGTGTCCATGCATTATTTGTATTTATATGGGACGTCACCAGCAGGGCTCTGTACAAAGTCCATGCTGGTCTGGTGCTGGCTTAGCTGCTCACCCAGCATGGTGTTTTGGATGCTGGTTGGCCAAAATACCAGCATCCAAAAGTCAACATATGGTTTTGATGGTGATCAGCAAAACTTCCGTTGCTGATGACCTGAATACCAGGTTTTGCTGGAGACCAGGTATGCTGGTCTGTGCTAGTTCTTCTAGCAGTGATCTCAACCAATGAATTATGACTTTTCCTGACTTAAGGTTTGAAAACTAGACATACTGTGGCAGACTGACAATTAGTTGCGGTTGTCATGTAATACAGTATATGGGTGTTTGGTTGCTTCTGGTTGGTCTAACCCACCAACAGGCAGGTTAAAATCTCCGTCATGTTAAATGTCTCCTGCTGAAGACAATGTTGTTGAATACAGGCTAAACTTTTAATTGCAGATCTTGTGATTTGCACTTCTGATATAAAGTAATTAATCTTTCAGCCTTACAGTGAATTGAATAGAATCACTTATGGAAACTTTGAAAAAATGGTGGTATTCCTCTTAACCTAATGGTTTGAGTCAAATGCGTGTATTTAAGCATGAGATTTGCATGATGGTGGGGTATTCACTTCCATTACTTGGTAGTTAGATTAGCCTTATAGCTTTAGTGCAAAACAAGAAGCAAACTTCAGACACCAAACAAGTCTTGACTGAGGGACTACATTTGGGGTAAGAGGAAGCCTGTAAATTAGATCATCCACTGAACTCACTTTGAGCAGTGCTATTTTAGGTACTTGGTAAACAGTTAAGCAATGTGTGGTATTCTGATACTACAATGCCTCTGTCTCTCCATCCATGCGGCATCCTGTACACTGGGTGCCAGGAGTGGTTAGGTGCCAAATTTTTCAGAGGCCATGTTAATAAGCAGTGCCGAACATTGGGTTCTTGTTCTTTACAGGCCACACACTTTATAATTAAGGACCTATCCACTAAAACACTGCTGTGCGCTTTTAAAGAAGGTACGTTTTGAGAGAATGGAGCTGTGGTACTTCTTGGGGGAAAAGCAATTTCTTGACTGGGTAGGTAAATAATCCAGTATACTACTATCTGATACCTTTTCTCCAGTGACTATGTAAGCCATGACCATGTTAACTTGTAGACAGCATCAGTACAATAATGTTGGACCACTGAGTTTCATATGTAGAACAGTGCTTCTGACAAGTAAAAGAGTATTGTACAGTAAAACAAAGGAATTTTTACTGTGTATTATACTGGCTTACATGTCTCTCAAAAAACATCCTAAAAACTCCAAATCTGTGTTTAGATGTGCTCAAAATCTCTTGTTCACTCAAAGCAGGTCTAGTTCTGCTAATGGCATGTTATGCATTCACCCCATCTAGTGGCCATAGGATAAAATTGCATCAAATTGAAGGAATTCAGTCCTTCCAAGTGTGTTTGATGTTGGGCTGTTTCCCAAATCCAACGTCTGAAGTCTCAGTCTGCAGTCTGAGATTACAAACACAAAGTAAAACAGTCTTTATAAGTTCCTAAGGCTCACACTTCATGATTTCCCTGAGACAGACTGTGGCGTAGCAGGACGAATCCAAATCAAAAGACAGTGTCAGGCTGGCTGTGGAGTGAGAGGGTGATAGCCCCATGACGTGCGGCTCCTCTTTAACATGGAGGCTATAGGTGATGTCATAAGGGTAAGCCAATAGTGGGCGGTAGCACCCAGGAACGTTGAGTTTGAGTGAGGTGATTCTGAATCGGCATGCACTCAGACCGTCCTGCGCCAGCCTGTCCTGATACCACTTGCCAAGAACGTTCTCCGGATACTTCACACTGTTGCCTGGCATGGGGAGGACCACCTGAAGGATGATCGAACACACAAAGAGACAAGCAATCAGACAAGAAAAGCATAGATAAGGCAGGGAATATACAGCGCATAATTAACAACAGCAGCTTTTTTAACAATAGCAGCAAATGATGTTTTTAAAGGGGGATTCCAACTATTTTTCAAAATGTCTGTTCAGAGTGGTTTGATGTGAAATGGTTTACTGTTGAGAAACTTACTGACTTCTTTACAGTGGTGGCGATAGGAACCAGGGGTAACAATGTCTACAACACAAATATAAATTTTATTTACAATCCAAAACCACCACTAAACCAACATCAGTCTTCTATGAAAATTTGACAATAATAAAATATTAGTAAACCTTTAACAAAAAATTCTTTAGGGTTATTTTGCATTTTTACATTCTTCATGTATCCATTTGCCATGTCTGAGTTGGAAAAAAAAATGCATTTTAGGCCTATGCCTGATCTTAAAACTCAAGCATCAGGCAGTTTATTTATAACCCCTTAATGTAATAACTTTCTGTGAAGGAGCTTTCAAAGCATTAAACGCTTCAGACGTCTGGTTCCTATCACCACCACTGTGAACAATTCTGACTCTGTAAGTTTCTCCATAACGGATCATTTCACATCAAACCACTCTTAATGAATTTGTTTACATCTTAATGATTTAATTATGCTGATTTTTTTTAAAAATACGTGGAATTCCCTTTCAAGTTACTTGAGTATCGGTTAAAATATTTGTCCTACTTGACATCATTTTACAAAGATATTTATCTAAATTTAAGAGGAATAGAAGAGAAGAGAGTAGCTGGACCTGTTCCAATGAGAAGACATTGTCTTTTTCTTCTGCAGGTGTAACAACATGGACCTGAAGAAAGATAAATGTAATAATAAACATGACATCTTCTTGTATCTCAGACTGAAAGTAGACTATTATGAACTGTCCAAAGGTTGTAGTAACAAATTCCATTTACTCTGCACCAGGCACTTAAGAACACTGTACTTCTCTATTCTAATGCTAATACGTATACTCATACTCAAATGTACCTGCGAGGAGAATAATCTACTTTTTACACTTTTTTTTACTCATTTTTGGGTTTAATATGATTCTGCTCTGTTTTGTGATATTCTGGACTGTTATGATGTTACTCACACCTCTCACTTTCCAGCTTCAGAAATTTTTTTTTTTATTTTACATCAAAATAATCTGAAAAAGACAATAATAGAGTTTCACAAACTTCACTACTTCTACTCAAGTGATTCTTTGGTAGCTACTTTTAATTGTACTTGAATCAATATAAAACAATGTGCCTTTATATGAATATGGTTTAGGGTCAAAACAACTAATAGACATTATTGATAATGTTGAAAAATCACTGGCAACAAATCTTATCAATTAGTTGTCACAATGACATTTGTGCACCTCATTTACATCACTTAAATAAAAGAGTGAAAACAGACAGCAGAGACTACAGTACAGGGTTATGCATGGAAAGACCACATTAGCATAATTTAAAACGATGTTTTTTCTAAAATGTGTAAAACTGAGCTCACATTTGACAGCAGTGTGAATGTCATTTGTGAAGGTCTAGAGAAACACAAAAATAAAAGCTCAACATGGTGGAGTAACCTGCAGTAAAACTAGTCAAAAGTTAAAAACAGCATGATTTTGTCTGCTTTCCAGCAAGCTCTATTTTGGTTTAGCAAAAATAAATACTGGCTGAAGAGATGAGCTGCATTTTTGTCTAATATGGCTAAATTGCACTTACTTGCTGCTAACGCGGTAATGCATACAGACCTGCTCATTCATACGCATACGTTGGTGATGCTGCTGATTACTGCTGTGTTGTCAGCAAACTTGATGATTGTGTTGGAACCGTGTTTTGTGATGCAGTAGTTGTACAGTGTGTAGAACACGGGTAAAAGGACAGTCTTGAGGGCGTCCTGTGCTAAATATGAGGGAAAGGTGTGGTCCCGCATCCTAACAGACTGTGGTCTGCAGGTGAGCATGTCCAGAATCCATATGCCCAATGCGTGACTTATTCCAAAAGTGTTTAGTTTGGAGACCAGTCTGGAGGAGATGAGGATATCAAAGGCAGAGCTGAAATCAGTAAACAGCATTCTGACACAGGTGTTCAATCAGTCCAGGTGGCTGAGTGAGGTTGCATCGCCAGGGAAACCGCATCATTAGTAGATCTGTTCACGCAGTAGGCAAACTGATGGGGGTCCAAACTCGGAAGACTGCTCTATATCAGCTTCATATGAAGCACATCATCACTATGGGTGTGAGAGAGATGGGGCGGTAGTTATATATGCTTGAGATGATGGGCTTCTTTGGGACTGGAATGATGGTTGCGGCTTTAAAGCAGGCGGGAATGGTCCACTGAGCCAAGGAAAGGTTGAAGATGTCCGTGAAGGTGGCAGCCAGCTGGTTGTCACACGCTTTCAGGATACGACCTGGAAGGCTAGCTGAACCCACTGCTTTCCAAGTGCTCTCCTCTGGAGCTAGTATGAGTGCCGACTCCTCTGTGGAGGGAGGCAGGGCAGTGGTGGTTAGCTGAGCCTGAGCAGTGGTCTCAAAGCGGGCATAGAAAGTGTTCAGTTCAGCAGGGAGGGAGGCATCTGTGGTCACTGAATTACTGACTTTGCTCTTATAGTCAGTGATTGCTTGGATCCCCTGCCACAAGCGTCAGGGATCCAAGTTGGTGTTGAAGTAGGCTGCAATTTGTGTGCTGTACTTGTGTTCTGCATCCCAGATGCCAGCCTTTAGGCTGTGTCTGGCTGTTTTAAGCTCCTCACTGTTGCCAGATTTGCATTGCATGCTTTCAGCAGATTGCGGACTTCATTGTTCGTCCACGGTTTTTAGTTTGGAAGTGTGCAAATTTGCTTTGTTTGAGTCACATCATCCACACACTTCTTGGTGAATCCAGTGACAGATATTCATTTACATCAACCAGAGTCTCTGTTTGCTGTCGTTTTGAACATGTCCCCGTCAGTACACTGAAAGCAGTACCATAACACTGACTCCGCCCCTTCAGGCCACAAACCGTTGCTCTAACCCATTTCAGCAGCTGCTGGTATGTGGGCTTCCTCAGTAGATGAACGTGGTCACTCTTACTGAATGGAGGCTGGGGGTGGTGCTGACATTCGTGTAGACATGATCCGGCATGTTTTCACCTTGTGTCAAACAGGAGACATGCTGATGGAACTTGGAGAACACTGTTCTGGAATCAGTCTGATTAAAATCCCCTGCGATGATGAGAAAATGTTGTCCAGTGTGGAGATTTGTAAACTTCTTTTCTGTGTTTTCATGTGGATGGATGTTTTTTTTTTAAAAATGCTAACGGTACGCGTATGTTTACTGCTGTTTGATGAGTAGTAAACATGCTTTATGGCCCTGCATGCCTGACATGGCTGATAACCAGGCTGCCTCTGTGTACTCGCTAATGTCAGGTTTCTTTACCTGATGTTACAGGCCACACAAACTAATGCATTTATCTTTGCTTCAATCATTAGAGGAGAAATATTTTGAACAGCAATGTGAAGTTCTTGTAGAATCCAACTACCTCCATAACAGTACTTGGACTGCCATGTACGATTTGTTCACGCACTGTTTTTTGTTTTTTTTTTGCTTTCTGCACACTGAGTAAAATAGCATTTTAGAGGGCAATGCAGAAGGCATCCTGTGGCACAGGTAAACTTGCTATAAGTACGATTCAGAAAGTAGTGTAGGTGTTTTATGTTTGAAGAGAGATTGTGCAAAAGGAGGAATAATCCTTTGCTTAATTTGTTAAAAGAAACATTATTTAGTTAATAGTTAGTTCTCGACAGACTACTGGCTGCACCAACCCCCACCCATGATCAAAGCCATAATGAACTGGTCAACTGGTGGAGATCATCATTAGCTGCAGTCCTAGTATCATTTTATGCTACTCTAGATTCTTAAAAATAAAGGTGCCAAAATGGGTTCTTTGCAGGATGCTACAGAAGAACCACTTTTGGTTCCCTAAAAAGGTTTTCAAAGAGTTTTGCTTTTTCAAAGAGCCATTTTTGTAAATGTGATGTGGGTGAGAAATGAACCTTTTTAGTTCTTTAAGTTTAAAAAATCTCCACACAATGTAAAGGTTCTATTAAGAGTTAAGTTGTTAAAGAACTTATATTATCTGAAGGTTCTTTAAACTTGTACAAGGTTCTCCACAATCACAAATCTCTTTTCAAAAAAATGGCACTGCTCCAGGAACCTTTATTTACTTACCTCTGGAACTGCCATATTACTGACATGCCTATCTAGTCAGTCCTTACTTGTTCTTTAAACAGTACTTCAGTCGGTGCTACAACAGTTTTCACTTCAGCTAAAAATCTTGACTGGACTCACCTGAGCTGTGTCAGATTCTTCTGTTGCAGAGTTATCTCTCTGGGGCCTGGTGCACACCAGATCTCCCTGCACAGGCCGGTGTGGCAGTGTATTCAGCCTGTAGGAGGCTGCCTCGTTCCACAGTCGGCTGCAGTAGGCATGCAGGTAGAAGACCCTCATGCCGTGGGGCAGGCTGAGCCAGGCTCGCCCGCAGCCCTCCTGACCGCTGCCGTAACGGTGCAGCGCCCGCAGCATCAGCCTCTCTCTAGCTTTATATGCAGGCATCAGCAGCAGGCTCTCTTTGGCATTGCCTGAAGAACAGTGTACAATTGTGTGCAAAAGTCTGAGCACCCCTGAATAAAATACCTGTTTCTTTTTAATTTTCTGAGAGAAAATAAGTGCACACACTTTAAAGGGAACAACGTTTCATTTTCTGCAGATTTTAGTGCACAATTTCTATTTATTTGCTAAACTTGACACATTGGGGGGGGAAAAAAATCAATGTTTTATAAAATATAATATCTCCTCCCAGTATGTTAAATTCAGCAAATAAACAGTAGTTGTGCTCTCTGTAGAGGATATGTAACTGACTTAGAAATCGACAAAATGTGTAATCTGACCAACGGTGCAGTTGCATCCAGTTGAATGACTAGTAACAATGGAAATAAATCTTATATCTGGGAACACAGGTGTGTTGTGATGGTGGGCCACTTGCCTGTGTGGAGAAAATGCCGCTTTGCTTTGTTCTGGAGGTCTTCGCCTTCCTCCGGGCTCAGGAACAACCTGACAGCAGCAACCTGAGAGAGACACACCATTTTGCTGTAGTGGGTTTGCCAAGTGCTTAAGTATAAGGCCGGGTATTGTGTAACTTTTGTCAATACTGATACTCGGCTTGAGCAATATCCAGAAACAATGAGCATAATATTTTGTTGTTAAAAAATCATGGTAATCGATAACATCGCCTCACCCTTGGCTGCGGCTTAGACCTTGTTTACATTCTGTTTTAGCATGAGCAGATTTTATGAACTGTTTTCATGAAAAGCACATATTTAATAATGTAATACTAAGTAACAAATGATTTTTTCTAGAAACCACTTTGCCTCTCATTTTGAAAGTTGTTACTGCAATCACATGCTCCTGATATTATGAGGTCATGATGACTTGCACACTAATATCGCCCCCTGCTGGAGAAACCTAGACTGCAACAGGGGCTCTGAATGAGTGCACTGCAAAGCCACGTCACGCGCTTCACTAATTATAAAAAGGAGATGTTTTCCTTCGTTACAGCAGAGTCATTGTGCAGTTCAGCTATAGACGCCTGTGGGAAATCATGAAGTAATTTATTTTCATAATTTACAACTCATCTGAACCGTCACGACACTTAATCAGTGCACAGAATGCTTATAATTTTCCCCAGTTGTAATTTTCCTGAGACAGTGGAAAATTGAATCTGTCACAATTTATCAGATTAATAATCCACCCCATAGTAACACACTGTTTCACTGTAAAAGACAATAAAACAATGTTTGTACATATTGTTTAATGTTATTCAGCAGTTTGGTCCTCTTTAAGTTCTCTTTCTCAACACGGTGATTATTGGTGTCAGTTAAGCCCATCGTCATGAGCTTACTCTTCAATCATTACTGATGTCCAGGTTAGGCCCCATCACCCAGGCCTAACCAACACCGCTACCCTAACTTTGATGCAGATTCCTGCATGATACTTCTATCTATACCAGCGTGCTCGCTGTCCTGAGCACGCAGTGTCACTAGTGATTGTCAGAGAAAGTGCCTCCTGGCTCAAAACTCCATCTTCATTCAAACTGATTATACTACCAGTATATTTCATCATATTATTATAACACCATCTATTTCAAGGCTCGTTTTCCTGTCTTTGAACCACAAATACAAACTGAAAGAGTGGTTTAAAGGGGAATTCCACTGATATTTCTAAATTCCTTCATAATTCAATCACTGAGATGTAAACAAAGTCTTTTTGCATCAAATCACTTTGCTGCTTTTTAGGGAAACTTGGACTTTGATTTCTTTACAGTAGTGGTGATAAAACACAAATACACAATTTTATTTACTATCCAAAACCACCGCAAAATCTATGTGTTTTCTAAATTTATGTAATGTTGATATTGATAAAATAATGGTAAATCTGAAAAAAAAAAGAAATCTTCTTTGGGGACTACTTTGCCTTACAACACCCTGCATGTATGTGTTTTTACCAACCACTTTATGTAATACCTTTCTGAGAGGGAGCCTTTAGAGGCATTAAACTCTTCAGATGTCTGCTTCCTCTCACCACCACTGTGAACAATTCTGACTCAGTAAGCTTCTCTAAAATCATGCATTTTACATCAAAGCACTGTAAGTGATTTTGTTTACATCTTAATGGTTTAATTACACAGATATTTTGAAAAATCATAAATAAATGTGCATTATTCTAAATTTGGCAGTTGGTGAGAGTAGCCAGTTACACCTGGGGGAGAAGTTAAGGGAGCCAGTGAACAAGCCAGACAGTTTAAACAGCTGCATCCCATGTGAGCTGCCAGGTCATAAGGCGTCTGCAGGTGTATTGTTCCTTTAAAGAACATCATTTTTATTTTACATGTGAAAAAAATATGTCTCTCTGCTCAAGCCGCCAGCTGGAAAGGAACTTCCGCACTTGGATCTGAAAAGTGCAGCTGTCTCACTCTCATGAGATTATAACGGCCTGTGTCATCAGGACACAGGTCAGATAAAAAAATCTAACCAGGATGCATTGTACTGAGCCAGGCAGTGATAGATCAGTGCCGCATTAAGTTGAAGAAGTCTATTAAGTGCAATGGTGTGCACAGGTACTGAAATTTGATATTGAATGATGCCAAATTGTCAATACTATGTACTATGAAAAGGAATCTGGTTGGTATCATAAAAGTCTAAAATTTCTAAACCCAGCCCTACTTAAAGGGGAATTCCACTGATTTTTAAATTTTCACCAGAACTTAATCTTTGAGAGATAAACAGTCATTCAAAGTGGTTTGATGTGAAAAAGCTCATCATAGAGAATCTTTATAACTCAGATTTCTTTACAGTGCTGGTGATAGGAACCAGGGGTCACAATGTCTACAACACAAATATAGCCATTTTATTTACTATCCAAAACAATCTGTGAACATTAAGCTTTTCAGACGTCTGGTTCCTATCACCACCACTGTGTACAATTCTGTCGGTTAAGTTTCTCTAGGTAGTATTAAAGTTTCACCTCAAATTTCACATCATCTAATGTCTTTACATCTTAATGAATTTATGATGCAGAAACATCAGTGGAATGACCACAACACAGGCAAAATGAGCACTGTATAATAAGTTCTCATGTCCGCTGTGTGTGGATGGGCCACACTTGCATAGAAAAATATATCAGATTTGACAAATTCAAGGTCTCAAAATCAGGGGAATCGGTACAGATTTCTACAAATGAAAACAATCAGATTTGTTTAACAATCCACCATTCTCCATTTTCCCCATATATTGAATACATCTATTGCCAGTCACTCCTTAGAAGCACTAGTCTTGACAAAAAGGTCCTCAGAACCTGAAAAAAAACTTCACTGAGTGCATCAGCTAACAACAAAAAAGATCAATAAAGTAAACTGAAAAGTCCTCTTACCGTATCTTCCTTCAGAAGTGCAAGTCCAACTTGGTCAGCTTGAACAGTCTGGCTATTTCCAAACCTCTGAGGTCCGTAATAATTCACAAAGCCCCGAGCCTGCAAGGAGTGTTGCCAGAAGTCAGCAGAGTTATTTCATCTGGAGTTCACTCTGACAAGCAGTGATAATGTGAAGTCAAAATGAACTGCTCACTGATGAATTAGATTCACCTTCACATTCTCCACAGCCTCTTTCACAAGCACTTCCAGGTCTGATGAACTACATTTCCCATGAGGCTTCAGGTCCCGGATGACAAGGTCAAAGTGGTTGCCCTGTAGCCTCCCGAGTCGAAGTGGTTCGGACACTGGATGGATATTAGACAGCTGCATTCCTCTCCTCTCAAACTCTGACGTCTTCTCCAGCAACCTACCACCAGACAAATCCCAAAACACTGTAAAAACACCACAATACACACAAAAATGTTACATCAGGCTTTTCTCTTTTTTTTTACATATTTTAAAATGCATCGACAAAGCAGAAAAATTAAATGCAAGATGGTGCATGATTTAAACAACAGGGCTTTATCGAAACAGAACTATAAGGGGTGAGACTTTATATGAAATGTATGGTGTAAAACAGCTAAAAGTAGAGCTGAGCAATTTTGGGAAAACTAATTGTGACCTTTCTTGAAAAATATTGCGACGGCGATTTAAATCGCAATTTTCTATAAAATAAGCTCCAAACATGTTATTTTGGCCAAGAAGACCACAATATCTACTTTTCTGGCTTGAGGCTTAAACACTGGATGTACTTTGCCAGAATGTTGGTTAGTTATGGTTGTGATGTCACATGGGTTTTTGGCTGCTTCTGATTGGTCTAATTTACAAGCTCATGTTATTAGTTTAAATTTCCTCACTTAAAACTTGACTATGTTGCTTATAATGTAGGCTGTGATTGAAAAAGTAGTAAAATTGCACTCTTTTGAATTGCAATTTTAATATTAAAAAAGAAATAATCCTTCAGCCCTAGCTAAAAGTGTATAATTTTATAAATCATAAAACACATCCTGTTTTGAAGGTCCCTCTGTTGTTTTTATATAATTCAATGGAAATATGTATAATGTACAAAACTGGAAGTTAGCAAGTAAGTCAACATTTATAAAAGTTTATTATTGTGTTTTAATGCTGTTTCATTTCATTTTATATCTAGATAACTGCAGTTGTGCTGTCTGTTTTAACCCAGCGTGACCATCTTTGTGGAGGAGTGTGAATTGTTTTCACAGCAGGGAGGTTTTCATCCCTCCATTTTATTCATAATTGTTGCCTAGCAGTTCAGCACAGGTTCACAACATTTCACACACAGAGAGCCAACAGTGCCCTAGTTAATCTGATACAGTTATTGGGAAAAACAAACATTTTAGTTACATATATGTGAATTAAAAATGATTAGTCGATTTCCATCCCACCAGAGGAATGGCTACTAGAAGGCCTGCAGAAAGAGGCTACAAATGTTTTGATAATATCAAGTAGTGAAACATGAACTGCACATAGAAATACACGTTAGATGCATGTGATGCACAACCTTTTAACTGTGAGATCAGTGACATGCAGAGTGGAGTGGCTTTATGGATGGCAACGGCAGATAAACGAACACATGGCAGAGAAATGATGTTTGGAGAATATGAGTCTTGATGGTCATATCTGGGTATGTTCTGCCCATTACCTCTCTGTGGAGATCTTCTTCACTACCATGGACTGGTAGGTGATGGCCCTTTTGTCTTTGATGCCAGCATAGGAGAAATCAGATGGAAGAACTCCAAGCACTGCTGCCATGTAGCTGATGGCCTCCAGAGTTTCAAGGTTTTCTTTTTTCAGTGTGAAACCTTTTTGAAAAGGAGGATTAGACATTGGTACAATCGTATTCAAAAGTTGGGTCAAACTTTTGGTCAAATGACACGTTTTATTAATTTTCTAAGTGAAAATAAGTTACCACATCCTCTACAGAGAATGCACACATTTTAACACACAGATACTAATTATTTGAATTAGTTGAATTATTTGAATTAGTTGAATTTAACATATTAGGGGGAAAAAGTGAACATGAAATTTGGCCTGTGAAAAAGTTATGGAAGATTTTATACAGTATTTTCTGTTTTTTTTCTGTTATGCTAAACTTAGCAAATTAAGTAGAAATTGTGCACTAAAATTTGATGAAAAAGGCCTTATTTTTATTAGTTACATGTAATGGTTACATGTAATTTGGACTGGTAATGTTCAAACCTTTGAATATGACTGTATATGCTGAAGATCACAGAACAAGAAGAAAAGATGAATAATCAGTCAGTTCTCACTGGTTTTTACAGCTTGTCTGATTTCTCACAAATCTCTAAGACTTTTCAATTGAGATCTTTCACTGAAAACTGTATGACACAAATTTGGTTTTCTTCTAAACTAGGTGCTTTATGTTGGTTCTCCACTTCAGATCCTCTAATAGTCACAAACGAAGCATAACATTGGTTCTAAAACCCTTCTTGATTTTTTTTAACCAGGTGATGAGAAGTGCAGCTGTGACAGGACTACACTCTTAAAAAAAGACAGTTCTTCAAGGGTTCTTTAGCAAAGGGAATGGCTCTATATAGAACTATTTCAAGCTTAAATGGTTCTTTGCATGCTGAAATGGTTTCTGAGTTTGATGGAGAACGTGTTGTACATGGTTCAATTCAGAACCTTTTTGAAAATGGTTCTAAATAGCACCAAAAAGGGTTCTTCTGTTGTTCGAACACTCTTAAAAATTGTGCTTCAATGGTTCTATATAAAACCACGAACACTCATAGAACCCTTTGCATGATTAAAGGATCCTCTGCATCATGAAAGCGTTGTTCAGATGGATGGAGAATGTGCTGTAGATGGTTCTATATAGCACCTTTTAAAAAATGGTTCTATACAGCTCCCAAAAGGGTTCTTCTATTGTTATGGTGCCAAGCTTGTAACAATAGAAAAACCCTTTTGGGTGCTATATAGAACCCTTTTCAAAAAGGTTCTATACAGACCCATCTATAGCACATTCATGCACATTTTCCATCAAGCCTAAGAACCTTTCTGTGATGCAAAGAACCCTTTAGTCATGCTAAGTGTTTTTTAAGTGTTCATAGTTCCATATAGAACCATTTTCTTTGCTAAAGAACCCTCAAAGCACCATCTTTCTTAAGAGTGAAGCTTGGCATTGTAACAATATTAGAACCCTTTTTGGTGCTATACAGAACCACATACAACACATTCTCCAACAATCTGAAGAACCATTTCACCAACGGTTCTAAACAAATCTACTCTCTTTTTAAAAAACCCTTGAAGAACCACCTTTTTTAAGAACGTACTACTCACCCTCCCTCTTTCTCTCTCACCTGTGTAGGTCTCCACCTGCTCTTCACTGTCTGAAGCCGTCCTCTTCCTGCTCTTCTTGCCCTGGTTTCCTTTCTCTCTCAGCCTCACTGTAATGGCAGTCTTGTCCTGCTCTGCAAAGCTCTTCGTCTCCACCAGCTTCCCAAACCTCCTGCTGACGAAGTGGTGGACGGACGTCCGGTGCTCCTTGCTGTCATCAGGCAAGAAGGTGAAGGCAGAGCCAGGAACTTTGGCATCTATGAACCTGAAGAAGTCCTCTGCTTCCTCCTCAGAGACCAGCTGAGAAAGCTCTCTGAAGTCTCGGTCCACTTTGACCCGGATCTCCGTCTGGTGGGTGACGGTCATTAGAAAGGGGTAGTTATGCCTCACTGCTCTGTGCACACTGGCTCGCTGCTGCTTGTCAGGAAAAGTGCCAAGGGTCATCTCAGTGTCCTCTTTTTGTTCCTCACTACATGCCACAGTTTTGCTGGCAAACTCTTCTAGTGCCTCATTGACAGAAGAGCCCAGAATTACATTCAGGTCAAACCCCTCCTGGCTCAAAACTCCATCCCCATTCTGGACCATGCTGGCCATACCAGCAGTGACCTCACCCAAGGATGCTTTTTGGGAACACTGTCTGACTTCAGTACTAGCCAACTTTGTGGGTTCCTCTGGCCTATCTGTCCTGTTCACAGGTCGCCCTTGGACGTCTAATTCAATGACCACGAAGTCTCGGGTTGAGTTTTTGATGCTGCCACAGAAACCTTCGTGGTCAGACATAAAGCAGGGCTGAGTGTCCCTCTCCATTCCGACTCTAGGTTCGCTAACTGAAGACAGGACTGTTAAACACTCGTGTCCTTTAGAGCGGAGGTCTCGGTACAAAGAGGCGACATTTTCACAATATTCACATTACGATACGCAGTAATTTAGTTATTAAAACGTCATGTTCTTTAAATATCTTCTGCCGCATAAATATGAACTGAACACGTTGTTCTCGGAGTTGTTTTATTCACCAAAAGCCAAAACGCGAAGTCCAACACACACAGCGCGCCACACTCACCCACCCACATGCAGTAAACAGAGGAGAAGTTCCGGCCCGCGTGCGCAGCCCGAGAGGAGGAGCTCATCTCTCTTAAAGGCACAGAGACTCTAAAAGCGACTTAAAGCAGTAGTTATTAAAAAAAACCTCGAAAAAAGCTCCAATTCTGTAAGTTTTAAAAGATGTTTTGGGTGTTGTGTGAAATCTAAACTAAGATACGGCGCAAAAATGATGACATGTGGCATAAAAATGCGCTCAATTTTGAGCTTACCTATTTTAATAGTTCAAAGGGGAACTCCGCCGAATTCTCAAAAATTCTGAATTGAATGGTTAAAATGTAAACCAAGTCATTTACAGTGGTTTGTGTGAAATGCTCTGTTCTAGAGAGGCTTAACGAGTCAAAATTGTTCACAGTGGTGGTGATAGGAACCAGATGCCCACCTCTAAGAACTCCCTCACAGAAAGTTATGACATGAAATGGTTATAAATACACTGCCTGATGTCTGATATATGGTTTTATTGTAGTTTTGTGATAAAGTTTTTGCTTAAAATATAATTTAAGCCATGTATTTTAATCCATTCACAGCAGAAAAGTACAAGTAGGGCATTATATAAAATAGTCCCCCCAAAAAAGTATTATTTTCAGATTCACCGCTGTTTTGCCGTTTTTAACACTGCATATAAAAACTCATAAGACGTGCAAGTTAACTGGTGGTTTTGGAAAGTAAATAAAATGGCTGTATTGGTGCTGAGAACCAGCTGATCTGTGCTGGTTTATGATGGTCTGGTGCTGGTTATAAAACAGGAGAAGAAATTGGACTTTCAAAATGACTACCTGACTACTGTGTATATGTATAACAGTAATGATGAAAAAAAAAAACCCAAATCATTTAGATCCAAATTAGTTTTTAAGTTTCTAAGTCAGTCACACTTTAAATAATTAAACCTTTGTCACTGATTATACAATGCCACTGAAAACACAACAAATATATGTGAATGTACAAACTTCAAAAAATTGGGACAGTATGTGAAATGCAAATAAAAACAGAAAGCAGTGATTTTCTAAAAACACAATGAACTATATTTAAACAAAAACACTACAAAGACAAGTTTTGTACTTGCTTATCAACACATTCATACACTTACCTCATTACCTCACACTCATTCTGAAATTGGGGCCTGCTAGATTGGCCTGCCTGCAGTCCAGACCTGTCTCCCATTAAAAACTAAGCTGAGGAGTTGTATAGCAGAAGAATGGCAAAGCATTCCACTTTTCAAACTGTACTGACAGGTGTCTTCAGTCCCTGAACGATTATTAAATGTTGTTAAAAGGAAAAGTGATATAGCAGTAAACATGCTCTTGTCCCAACTTCCTTTTGGAAGGCATCAAATCTGGAATGAGTGTATATTTACAAAAAAATTGCATAAAACATCACATACTGTGTTCTTGTACTATTTTCTATTTAATACAGGTCAAACAGAATTCACTAATCACTGCTTTCTGTTTCAGTAGCCCTAGCTTTTTTAGAATCAAAGTTTGTATGTAGGTTAATCTTAGTGAAGCCTCACTTTTCACCCTTTTTCACTTAGGGAGTTCAATCTGCTCGAAAAGCAGGTAGATTTATTTGAGCATAAGCAAAACACATTGCGAATTAAAGCTTGAAAAGAACTCAGTGTGTATACTATCCCTCAAATTTGGTAGTCAAATTTTCTTTCACATTCCATGCGCTTTAGACAAATGAAGACAAACAGATACGTGCAATTTAAATATTTTAATTTCCCTATCTCAAACATTTTGATTTGTTAAAAAAACACAGAGACTTACACTGAACAACGATGTTGACAATTCATTCTGAGACTTCATAACACTCTTGTACAAGAGAAATGTTAACAGTGGTTTGCCTGTTCAGTAGATGGAGCTCTCCTCTGAATTCTGCTATTTGTAGTCCATTCCCTTCTGAGAGGTTATAAAGGAGTAGTGCAACTTTTATATTTTTTTTTAGAAAGATTGCTTTTGTGGAATGTGTGTTTTCTAAAGTCAAATATGGTGCAAAATTGGTGATCCCCCCCAGGCTTCCATTGGCATAGAACAAGTCTGTGTTTTTCTAAAAGCTAACAAACAGTATAGTGCAATATTCTCCAACAGCCGGGCTATTGTTTCAATACGATGCCAAAATCTGAGGAAGAACACAGATTAGTGAAGCTAACAGAGTCAGAATGCTAACAGCTAATAAAATTTTATGCAAAACATTTTGGTGAAGATACTTATTCGTGATTCAAATGACAATGATATAAGGATGATATTGGACTGCTGAACATGCCAGTGGTTTTAGACCATTTTGAACTCTGATAATTGAATGTTTGCATTTGCAATGTCACTTTCTGTGCACATCTTGTGTAAGAAGCACACATTTCACAAAAAAATCCTCTGAAAAGTGGAAGAAAACAGTCTTTAAGGATGGACTATTGGACTGTTCCTTCAGTGGTTCCTTCAGAGGTGCTGAGTAAACTCAATGCATGTTACGTGGAAGTGAATGTCAGGGAATGGAAGCAACCCACTGTTTTACATGGGAAACATTCTCCGAGACGAACGCGATGGCCACTAAGACAGAGCACATTTGATCCGAGGTGTTAGACAACATGATCTGGACATATCAGCCGTTCAGGCTTAGAAAAATAGTGTTTCTACGAGTTTAGGTTTCACTTAAAGAATGTGAAAAAGATTTCGATGCTGAGAGCATCACTTATTCAGATTTCTCAGACAAAACGGGTCCTTTAGAAAAAATTCCTCTCTATTATCAAAGTCCTCTACATTACAAATCACAAAAGGAGTTAAGACCTACAAATAAATGCACATAAAAAAATCACGATTTCTTCATCATTTGTTGCACTCGGCAACTCCTTCATTAAAATGATCCAACTCCAAAGCAAGAGGGCTGCACAGCTCAGACGTTTCAAATGTCAGGACACTATTGATTAACTCAACCTCGGAGTCATAAGGTTGTTGTTTAGGCAAAAAGCAATCAACGGCTGATATTTGACTAAAACAGCAAGCGAGTTAATCAATAAGATGCAGACAAATGGAACAAAAACAGCTGACCGTTCAGCCTTCCTGAGTCAAACAATTGCATAGGGGCTACTTAAACTCAGCCTACGAATAGTCCTGGCCTTCAATCCAAAGTTGGGTTTAGTATGCGTCTAAGAAGCGAGTCCATTTTCCAGCTAAACAGTGTAATAGTGTTAAGTTCCTCACCATTATTATCACAGATAGCATTCCTAAATGCACCTGAACGCTTTTCAGACGGTCATAGATTAGTGTTTTTCCTTGTGCATAGATAAAGCTATGGGGATGTGGGCTACAGGTTTCAAGGTAAACTGGGAGGTAATTTATAACAAGGGCTCACTGTACCACTGCTACTCTAAACGAGCAAAGAAGGGAGTTAATCGTCATCCCCGTCTCCTGGAGGACGTGTGATTCTACGCCCTCCCCTCTTCCCCGTTGGACCCTTGGGCTTGGCAAAAGCTTGTTTGTGCGCGTGCTGCTTGGGGTGCACCTCTTCATACAGGAAATCACTGGTGAGTTCTTCACCATTATCAATCTCCAGCTGTAAAAAAAAGTAAACAAGTCAGTTATTAGTAATCAGTAAAGGCCACCTCAAACCAGACATGCAGCACTGCATCTTGCATCATCTAAAAATTCGACACATGCTGCTCAGTGACTCTCAGCACTTCTCAGTTTTTCTAAGTACCACCACACACCACTTATTTGCTATTACTGCATTAAGTTAAACCTAAAACACATCCACAGAAAGCTGAAGTAGGTGATTTGTGGTTTACAATTTACACCAAGTAAGGCAATCTGAAGTCTCCTCAGCTAATGTTGCTAGCCTAGTCTATTTGTGCCTTGTGTTATTTTGCTGGCAAACACTGATTTTGTGAAGAGGTAGCTTTATTCCATTAAATCTGTAAGAGTAGAGTGTAAAATCCTTATATGACACGAGGATTTTAGGATTTTCTACGAAGCAAACCAAGGTTTTGAGAATGGGAATGACTGCAGACTTTAGAATTGGTAGTGAAGATGCAGAATCATGGGCAGCTTTTGCTCACTTGGATCAGTTGTTTACAACAAAGTATCCAGCAGTAAAGAAAAACGACAGATTGGCACTCAGCAGAACAATGATGAAGGAGCTTGAAAAGATCATAATGGTACAAACATCAGAATTGTCCAGGCTATGGTTTTTTCTGCAGTTCTTTATGGATGTGAAAGCTGGACAGTGAAAAATGAGACATGTACAAAATGTTGATTCTTCTGAACTTTCTTGGAAGGCTAAGAAAACAATGTAAAAGGATTCTTGACCAAATCAAGCCTCGCTTGAAGCCCAGATAACCAAACTAAGGACAAAGTGTGGACGCACATAATAATAACAATACTACTAATCTTAATAATGGAGTGTAAAATGAACTGAAAACTATATACTTTGTTATGTGAACTGACGCTACGCGGCGTGGTGTATCCGGTGCATGGTGGCCTGAACACAGTTTTTCCAAAAGGTTGATTTTTACAACTTTATTCCTAAAAAACATCCTAATTAGTCTTTTGAAGTGTAATATCTTACCTTTTTGGCAATTTCAATGTGCAGATTTTTCTCCACCGTGTCTATGAGGGGGTTTTTGCAGCTCGAGTACAACATCCTCTCCCGAATGCTGCATTTATAGCCAGGCATGGAGTAGATAAACACTGTAAAGATACACAGTATATGACTGATTTGCTTAATAAAATCATCAGAAATGAAAAACACGGTACATGAAGTTAAAATTATGTGGTTAGCTTTTTAAAGCTGCATAGATCTATTGTCAGCAAAAGGACAGCTTTAAGAATATGGAGTCACCTTTTTCTCTCTCTCTCTCTTTACAATGAGAAAAAAAAATTCTTTTACCTGTGGACTCCAGGTAGTCTCCTTCATGTGTATGTTTGTAGAGGAAGAAGTGGTAGCGTGCAGCATCTTTAGGGATTCTTTTCGGCAGGTCCTTCAACTCTGTCGGAGCTGTGCTGGACAACTTGATGGATTCCCTCGGAAAATCAATTTCCTAAAGCGAATCCAAACACATTTAATCTATTACTGCCCATAATTAATTGACTCCCTCTGAGATATTTCTATCACAAGCTGACACTGCAGGGGTGAATTCCAAGTTTAGTTGTGTGGCATACATCATGTGTAAAAAACACCACCTACTTAATAATTTAGCTCTTATGTTAAGGGAAAAATTGTAAATTGTACAGTTGCAGAACTATAACAATTTTCAAGAACAGTGATCACTGCACATGACGATACATGACAGCAGGGGTGGGTGATACAGCAAAAACGCCATGCCACGATATTTAAAGACATTTTCACAACACACACCACAATATTATGACACATAGACACACAATGCACCAGTAGAACCCCATTTTAAAAGCTGCCATCAAAAACTCTGGATACAATGATTTTTATTCAACCTTTTACACACTGAACTGCAGTACATCTAATTAAACATGCCTAATGATGCTCTCTTTTTAATGAAACATGCAGCTGCTCAGTGTCCTTTAAGCACTGACAGTATTAACAATAGGAAAAGCAGAAAAAAACAGATTGTGTATCACGGTAATGACAAAATATCATCATATTGCCCACCTCTAAGTGATAGTACTGCATTTGGTTGGTAATCAGGCATCACTTACAAGCTGAACATAGTTTACTCTCTTCTCTCTGAACTGCTCCAGGGCCTGAATAGCTTCTCTCTGCATGGGAAAAGCTACACCCTGCAGAGTCTGCTGCTTTGTGTCCACGTGGATGTCTGTCTGCACCTGGAAAGACACACATACGCACACTTATTTCTTCAACACACTGCCCAGCACCATCTGGAACTGACAGAGCTTATGCAGTCACAAAGATAAAGCTTGCAGTCTCAGTCTAGATCCTATTAGTGATTAGTTTGACTACATGTAGGTAATAGTTTTCACTATGTTTTAGACTTGAAGTTGCTGCAGGCCTCAGTGTGCTGGCTGTTGCCATGGAAAACACATTTTCCAAGAGGCCAGATGAGGACACTACTACATACGGCTGTTGGCTAGAATGCTTAGCAATGACACAGCGGGTCGCAAAACGAATCCAGCTTGGTTTGTGCTGTGACCTGGATCTGCTCATCCATTCACAACTCCTAATCCATCTACACAGTGTAACCCTTAGGAGTTGAAAGTTATTACTTTCATTCTGCTACAATATTCACATGTAATTACAATTTGATAATTAGATTACTAATAATTACAGAGTTAGATTTCATAATTATATTATGCGGCAACATGCACAGTGTGAATTTGGTGTGTTAGATTGAGGCAAAAAATGTGAATAAAGGAGACATGAGACTCATGTCTCTAATGTTTTAACACGTACGACCCGGAGATTTTCACTCTCAAGAAAAAGATGACTACACATGATTCTGTGTAAGTATAGACATCTGCGTGAGTGTGTTTGGGCAGTAGGGCATTGTTTCGACAGTACAACCAGAGTAAGTAAACATGGAAGGAAGCAAGATGGCTACACTAGTGGCAAAGTGGCAAACTTGGCTTGTACTTTAATAGTTGCATACAGTGAACAAGAAATGACAAATCATTAATTGCAATTATTTATATGATAATTATTCCTCAGCTAAAATTTCATCATCGTGACTGACCCAGACAACAGGAAAAAACACACAAAAATATGGTGTGTATACGCTGCTGTCAGTCACCCTGTAAATCCTGAAATAATAATTAAAAGTCAGGAGTTCACAGGAGTTTTTCAAAGCACATCATACATCTTTACGCATTAACATCCCACACACACAGGCTCAAAAAGAAGATCCGGCTCAATGTTTAGGTCTCAAATGCAAAATCAACATTATACTGATGAAGATATTATGATAACAGTGGATAATTCACTCACATCCTCACCAGATTTTGACTGAGTTGTCTTTGAATATTCTTTGAACGTGCTCACAATCATCTGATTCATCCACATAGGGGTCTCAAGCTTGAACAGTGTTACAAACCGTTCTTCCGCATGTCGCATGCAATTACACATTTTCACCAGAAATCCTCAAATCCCCAAAACTTACAAAGTGTAGCTAATTACATAGGCACTACACGATTATACGTTTATATTCATGTTCTGTATCAGCAGTTTTCAGTCTGCAATTCTGGCTTTTTTACGGATGTTACAATGTCAAGAAATGACGAAAACATGGCAAAAATTCAAAGGATGTTTTTTTCCCTGGAAAAGAACATAGACACAACAACTTTTCATCAAATTCATATCATAGTAAAATATCTGCTCTTCTACTTACAAACACAAACGTGGCATTGATTGAAAGTTTAGAACCTGCACTTTTGACAGAATAATAATTTCACCATGTTTTTGTTATCGCCAGTGATAACTGGGACTATGAAAGGTTAAGGGATCGGTTTTGTTCACAATGGCAGGTTGTATTTATTCCCTACACTTTCAAAAGCAAGAGGCATCTCCTTTATTTTCCATCAGAGGTGGCTCCTGTTCACCTAAACTTACAGCATACGGCTTATCCAGTCACAGAGACGCCACGAGATGGACCTGCTTTCGCATCCATCCACTTAATAGATGCAGTCTCTCACAAAATGAATAGTAAATATCTCAAAGCCTCTTTTCTCTCTGCCCACAAATGTAGCTTAGTGTGGTATTATCTTCTTCCTGCAGCTGCTGATCTACTGAGGGGGACTGCTGCTTTGCAGTTGGCTGCTTTTTGGAGGCTGTCATTCTGAAACAGCCAACGGGCAGCTAAAGAGAGCCAGGCCACGCTTTTGTGGTTTTAGAGTAAGCATACGGCCTATACATCATAAACAGCATGTTCTACATTTGGTTACATGAAGTAGTCTAAATGAAAGAGCATTTATAACTATATGTTTGAGAGAGTATTTATAACTACATGTGTCAGCTTGCATTAAATGACATCCAAAAATATACTGGCATATGCTGAAGACTGAATAAAGAAGAATTACATATAATAAAGAAGAATTACATCCTAGAACAGGAGGTTTGGGATATTCCAAACTCATTCAATAAACACACACAGTTTATGAAGACAGTTTCACTGCATATATGAATCAGACAAAACCACTGGCTTCCATGGCTATAATATCTAGGGACCAGAGATGTGGAGACAGATGGGAGATCCACAGCAGAGAGTAAAACAGTGATCTAGGCCAGTTTCTAATCTGTTCAGCACACAGTGAAAAATCAATGCCATACACAGACCCAGCAAGGTCACATGACCAACAGCAGCCAGCATTTTGAAGCTTCACTCACCAACTTACGGAGAGCGTATTAAGGGTGAAATGATTTCAATACTGTATCAAAACAAAAATAAAATAAAATAATTGAGAGATGCCACTGGAGTACCAAAATCTAAAACTGCATCACTGATATACCCCTCAGCCTCCTATGACGATTGGCCTGTCATGATCATAAAACTTTATCTACATAAATAATAATCATTAAACAATTTGATTGTCTTTCTTTAATTCATTGTATGCAACTATTAGAGTACAAGCCTAAAGTGACCACGTTGGCTGATGAGCTCTCTTTCTTCCTAGCTACCAATACTTAGTAGCTCTGATGACTGATGACAGAGAGCTCAAGCTCAAATAAACAAACATTACTCACCGCCACACTCTACATGTGTTGTAGCACCAAGCCAGAAGTTTTTTTCTTGTTTTCGTAAGACCAATGATGTGTCTGAATAAATGCGTTTTTCTGATTTCTTTTATTTACATGAATATGTCTGAAACCACTGGATGAACATTCAAATTCCCATCACAATCCGTCTGCTGGCAGACTGTGAAAGTTAACAGCTGCAGAAAATAACTGCGATCTAGCATTTATTCCAGTAGGGCTACAAATGGATGAAATACAGGTATATTGCCGATTTATTGCAGCAGCCCAGCGTCACAAAAACATGTTCTTCTGGAGTACAACAAACATGCCATCAAATACCAGTTTGAAATATCAGCCGAATCTTGCTTTAGAATCGAAAAATGTATTAGACCTGAAAATATGTGTTGCTGTTACACCTCTGGAGCACATGGATAAAGCTGTTCTAAATGGTGTTCTCTGTCACACAGGTTCAGTTATTATATATAGATCAGTAACTGCAGTATTTGTTTCTGTCAGCAATACTAAAGTGCCAAAACTGTTTAAGTAATTCTTGTTTCATGTGAATCTATATTTCATGCGTGGGTGGCAGTGTACTTGACTAGCTGCAGTGGTACCTCATTGAGTTTGATTTGCCTCAGTTCCTCCTCAGCAGCGGTCAGTGGGAGTGGAGCAGCCAGGGAGGTCAGGTACCTTTTATACCCGTTTAGAGAAATGTCATCCTGGGCAAAAAGAGGTCTGTTAGCAGGTCCGTAATAGGGCTGCATGATGTTGACAAAATATTAGCACTCATATTTAGTGTTAATACTGGCATTACTATATACATGCGATCAATATGCCTTGCAATTTATGTCTCTTCCTCTCCCCAAAAGACCATCTTCTACATTTGTGCCATAAAGCTGTGGTACTACTCAAAAAGTCACAAAATATTGCAAAAACGCATGGAGCTATCAGTGAAATGATCTACATTTGTATGTCTAAATTGATCTTGAACAGCTCAGCAAAACAGCCTGGACTACATGTTTTAATTGGGCTTAGTTTAGGTTGACTGAGACCTCAGACTATAACAACTGAACCGTGCTGTTTACATGACTGTGCCTTAGTCACACAAGCACTCTTATTATTCAGACTAATATTCAACCACTGGTGTGCATGCAAATATAGTTACTGTGATTGGTTAGTGGTATCATTTGCATTTTGTAGCAGTTTTGCAAAGGGCAATATTGCAATAACAGTTCATAACTGATATACTGTGTAGCGCTATTACCTAATAGGCAATCACACTGACATTAAACGTACCTTAGCAGTGCCAAAAATCTCCTCTTTTATGTGCCCACCACCAAATTCTTTCTTCAGTGTGGCCCTCGTAGCAGCGTACAGCATCTTCTGCCGAACCTGAAAATGCCATGTATGCGTTGATTCCTTTACATAAGAATGATCAGAAACAAATGCTGTGTGTGTTTGGGTTTGCAGCCATTTGGCTGGCACAACAGTGTTACTGAACATCCCAGGAAATAATTAGAATTGCAAATTATCCACAGTAGTCCAGCCCGAAACACGACGGTGTATTTTCTGTGTTTGACCTCTCTTCTCTTCACAAACTATAACACAATGTATTGGTGTGGAGGGGGGCGGCACACTACTGTGAGGCTTTTAATGCCAAAGAGCAGACCATTAACAGACAAAGAACCAACATGAACGGAAACGTGTAGCTATACGCCCATGTAATTACACAGTCTTAATGACTCGTGTCTGCTCCACGTGCTCAGTCCCACGTATTAAAATAGCCATAATTTCTTAACACAAAATTCTGAACATGATTTAACATTTTCCTATAGTGTTTCTATACATGTACACTCCATGTGGCTCTATCAAAGTCTAGATGTACATGTGTCCGTCTGACTTATCCATGTGAATATATCATTCTTGGAGAAAAACAAGCTCAGAAGTAAGGCTTTTTATCCCTAGGTGTACTGACACCTCATCTAACCTTTTAACAAAAGTGAGCCATTGAGGATACAGTTACAACTGTACCTAAGAGAGAAATACACCACTACTGTAGTACTGATTCTGACAGTGTACAGTAACAGACTTTTCAGAGAGGCTTTTTTGTTCAGTTAAATCACTGCAATGTCGGTATTACTAAATAATGAAATTTTAGGACAAGCATGCACAATATAATCTTTAAAACCAAGTGGAACATTACACTATACAGACTGTGAAGAAAGGACTTCAATGCTTTCACTTTATTACATGTGGTCCCTTAAGTTATTGAATTTAAAATGATAGTTTAGTCAAAATGCAACTTACACAATTTTCCCTCTTATCCCAATAGAAGCAGATCAGAGCTATAGCTTTGCATAGCTTAACAAAAACATGTGTTTTGTCTGTATCTTGGTCCATTTCATAGAAAACAGATGACATACAGCGTCAGAAACGGTATGACTGAGTCTTTTTGAGACTACTTAACAACTCAACACAATTTATGTATGCAGTTTGTACAGTGTTAACTGGTATACATTTAAAAAGACGGTTCTTGAAGGGGTCTTTAGTAAAGGCAATGGTTCTATTTAGAATCATGAGTTCCACATAGAACCATTTCATGCTTATATGGTTCTTCAGATTGATGGAGAATGTGTTGTATATGGTTCTATACGGAACTTTTTGGTGCTATACAGAAACATTTTCAAAAAAGCTCTGAATAGAAACATATACAACACGTAGTCCATCAATCTGAAGCCACTGCCTTCACTAAGAACCATAATTTCTAAGTGTGTAGAGTATAAGCTCCCATTGTTTGTTAACTACATTAACCTTGTAGCTCCAGCGCAGGGGTGCCAAACTCAACCACTAAATATTTATAAAAAAAAAAAATCAGCAAATCTGAAAAAAAAAAAAAGGGGGTCACTATGTTGCAGTGCATGCTGGGGACTGTAGTGCATCTCAGGGTGAAACGGGCTACTAAGAATAGAAAATTAAAATAATTTCGCAGGCTCAACAGGACTGTGTCACGGGCCTGACTTGGCCCCAGGCCTTGTGTTTGACACATGGGCTTTAGTGCAAACCTTGAACAAACTTTGAACACCATGTCATTGCTAATCAAAGATGTTTTGAGAAAGAGGAGAACTGTAAATTTGGCCATGGCTTTAAGAGAAACACATACTAACTGAACAAACACACACACTATGAGCAGCCTCGCTCATCTCATCTCATCTCATCTCATCGCTTATTTCCATAGATAAAGTAGCTGAAAACAGTCCGCAGGCTTTCCAACAAGCCATGATTTGCATGAAAAATACCAACAGTGTGAACGTTACTCACAGGTGAGTGGTCTGGTGACCACGCCAGGAAGATCCACTCGTAGCCCTGATTATTGGTGGTGTCTAGCCTGTAGAGGAGGTAGGATGGCATATCATCCTCCAGCAGAGGGAGAACATAGCTGTCCCATTCCTGGTCCCACTTCTTGGCTGCTGGTTTACTTCCTCCCAGCACAAGCTGTTCTGAAGAACAAACCAGAGATGGCAAGCTGAACAGCCACGGACCTCTCACCTTATATGGATGCTTACAGTCATAAACAAACCTGAACGCTAACTAGACACTCACCTCCAGCATAGCACCTTATATAGACAACAACAGGCACGAACAAAACCTACAGAGGTGCTTTATTCACCTCCAACTTACCATTTTCAATCACGACTTTAATCAGACGATACTCTCCGTTTCGTGCCTTCGCAAATACGTCCTTCACTTCAGCCGTGGCTGCGGAGAGAGAGTCAACAAAGAGGCCGTTTAGTGCTGGTCAGGAGCAGATCTGAGCTGACAGAGCAACAACTGAGGCAGATTTGGACGATGAATGTGAGCGGCGTCTCTGAGGAGGCTTTGTCTTGTTGGGACTTTGGACAACACGGGTAGCATTCTAGCGATGAACCAGCCACTCAGAAATCATCACCAAAGTGCTATAAGATACAACCGAGCTTCGCTACAGGCAGAATACTTCACATTCTTAGCTTCAAAGTCCCAGCTAGACTGGCTAGACTGTCTCAGAAGAAAAGGAGGAGCGATATTCACGAAGAACACCGTGCTATATAATACATGAGCTTAGTGAAACAGAAGTAGCCTAAACAGTCTTTAAGTAAAGGTGTTGTTACCTCAGTTAAACACTAAAGTAGGAGTAAATTTAGCCTAGCTACCAAAGAAACACGTCGAGTAGGAGTAAAGAAGTGTCAGGTCCTACAGAAGCAGAGCTACGGGGCTCTGACCTATCAGTACAGAGACTTTTTTATTCTAATATTATTATTACTATTTTTTCTATTATGAGAAGGTCCAATGTGAGAGATGTATGAACAAACAGCAGAACAGTCGAGGTGCTGCCGAACCAACAGAACAGAATCAAACAAAACCTTAAGAAATAATCAGGAAACAGGTGTGAAAGAGTTAAAATGAACTGAGAAAACTTGGAAAGGTTTGAATAATCCTCAGAAAAGAACTAATTCATCAGAACTGCAAACGTAAACGTGAATATTACTCGTCACTACTCACTTCAGATCACCCTGACTATAAAACTATCACTGCTTTTGTGTTTAAAAGGGCGCCGCGCACAGTGAAGCTCATCTGAATCTGAATGACTAACCAGTCCAGACTTCCTTTATGGACTTCATTAGAAAGACCTTTGAAACCTGCTGGCTTCTTCGCGACTCCTTAATGTCCTATAACTCTGCGGGTTGTATGAACAGAGCTAACGTTAACTCTCGGTTCATTTGCATGGCCGCACGAGAGCAATAAAAGCCAAATCGCACTTGACACAGATTCCTCTCTCTCTGTCTCTCTCTCTCTCTCTCTCTCTCTCTCTCTCTCTCTGCGGCTCTGGTGCTGCTCAGCTTTTAACACAAGCTTCAGAAACACCGGTAACGAGGCTGCGCCGTCTGTGCTTAGCAACGCGCTCCAGCAGCAGATCTGATTATCAAACAGGCAGTAAATGAGACCTTAGTACCGTGTACCGCGCCGGAGACTGTCTACCTGCCTACAGGCGGTGAAATGGTCAGTTAGCGATGGTCACAGCTTTACCTTGGATGCCGGTTTGGTGAGACATCGCGGATCTGCTCAGCTTCTCTTCGACCGGAGCAGCACAAACACGGAAACGGAGCGAGCGGCACAGGCCCCGCCCTCTGGCGTGACGTCACAGCACAGGCCCTCCTTCGGTCACATGACAGCGGCTTCTTTTTCTTTTCTTTCTTTATTTTTTTTTATTGTAATATTTCAACAGTGCAATGCATTGTTCAACAAAGCACAAAAATACACACAATCATAGACACAATCGCAATCGGTCAAACAAAACTAATGATAATAATAATAATAATAATAATAATAATAATAATAATAATGATGGTTGTGTAATGTGTTTTGGCTTTTTTTTTAATGGGTTGATAACACAGTATAAAGTATATGTATATATATATATACATATATATATATATATATATATATATATATATATATATATATATATATATATATAGTTAGAATAAAGTTTATAATAGAATGTTATTTTGGATATAATACAACAATCAATCAAAACATTGCACTTTATGATTTGTTACTAAAAGTAGTAAAAAATGAAAAAAAAAAAATAAGAAGGTGTATAAAAATACTTGTTCTCTCATTGGCTGAGGCAATGGGGGGACAAGCAACCTTCTTGCCACCTCTTTGTGGACCACCTTTGGCCTGCGGACCCCATGTTGGGCAGCCCTAGATGCTACTCAACTCGCACATGGCAACAGACAGATTACAGTCTGCAATTGAAGCAAGGTGGCTCTGTTTCTGATAAAATGAATGGGGAGTTTATGTGGTGGGGAGCTGAGAAGGGTAGAGGAGTCTAAAATCATTCTCAAGTAGGTGCTGTTAGAAGCTATTTAAAACCAAAGGGAGGAGTAAAAAAAACACTATCAAGTACTGAGTTCCTAAAGAACAGCAAACAAACATTTAGTACATCTTCAAGTAAGTAGAAATCTGTCAACATTTGATGAAGTATATCTCTGGTGTACTTAAGGTTTTGCATTAATACTCAAGATACTAGTTCCCTTGATAGGAGAACAGGTTAAGTAAGCTTAGTAAGGTTCAGTGAAGAATCTGACAGAGCGTGTAGTTTAATCTTGACCTAGGCCTACGTTTGAGAATGTTGAGAATGTTGCATGCGGGGCCTGATCGGACCTTGCAGCTACAGGAATTTGTGAAGTGCAGGGTGGGGCTGTGAACTCCACCCTACAGTCTGGCTATATAAATACTCTGCCAGACTGCGGTGTTGATTCAACTGCTTTGTGTGTGTGTGCGTTTGAAGAAACCACAGAGTTAGGAGAGAGGTGTGGCACAAGACTATAGGGAAGAAATGACATGGTAGGAGAGGACTAACTGCTGTGGATTAGAGGTTTCTAGGAAACACACCCTATGGCACAGAGTCTGAAGAACAGAGGTGGACATGCTCCCCTGCGATTCTACCAGTGAACATTTTGTTGTCGCTAGTATAATAGATTTGATGTTGTTAGATTCAAGTTTTTATCCAATCAAATGCTTGCATGTTACTCAAGTACTGGACACTGAAGACTGTCTGTGACTAAAACCTGTACAGTAAGGCAGCCTTACTTCACTTTGGAATAAGAATAAGAAGCTTTTTCTGTGTCCGTTACAGTTACAGTTTGAGCAACAGGACCTGAAAATAATCAAGTTATAAGGATGTTTGGAAAATAAAGTGGATTGTTATAAGATTCCATAGCACATTTGCATGTTTAAGATTTTTGGGCCCATTGCTCAGGAGTAAATGAACAAGAATTAACACTAAAGCACAAAAAGTTCAACTAAATGCAACTAAAAATGACAGAATAATTCTGACCTCACTATATGGTCTTTTCATCGTAAAGTAATCAGAATACATTTCTAAGGCACTGATTACAAATGTAGAGGATACATATATTTTGTTTGTTTGCTATTCCATTAACTTGTAGTATTATTGTTGGAGATCATTTGTTTTTATATGTATTTTACAATGATGGTGATAGGGACCCGGAGACACAATGTCTACAACTCAAATATAGTCATTTTATTTACTATCCAAAATGACCAGTGAACCTACACATCTCCTCAGTTTTTTATGTACAACCCGTTTCCAAAAAAGTTGTCCAAAATGTAAATGAAATCAGAATGCAATGATGTGCAAATCATTTAAACCCTATATTTCATTATATAAATAGTACAAAGACAACATATCAAACGTTGAAATTGAGAAATTTTATTGTTTTTTGAAAAATATATGCATGTTTACCTCTGTGTTTCATCACCTCTTCTTTTAATAACACTCTGTAAGTGTTTGGGAACTGAGGAGACCGATTGCTGTAGTTTTAAAAGCGAAGTGTTTCTCTGTTCTTGTTTGATAAAGGATTTCAGCTGCTCACAGTTCAGGGTCTCTTTTGCCATATTTTTTGTTTCATTACGTGCCAAATGTTTTCAATGGGTGACAGGTCTGGACTGCAGGCAAGCCAGTTTAGCACCCAGACTCTTTTACTGCAGAATCATGCTGTTGTAATACGTACAGAATGTGGTTTGACTTTGTCTTGCTGAACTAAGCAAGGTCTTCCCTGAAAAACACGTCATCTCAATGGCAGCATACGTTGCTCCAAAACCTGTTTATTGTTCAGCATTAATGGTGCCTTCACAGATGTGCATGTTGCCCATGTCATGTGCATTAATGCACCCCTATACTATCAGGGATTCTTGCTTTTAAACTGTATGCTGATAACAAGCTGGGTGGTCTTTAGTCCAAAGTATGCAGTGTCCATGATTTCCAAAAAGAATTTCAAATTTTGATTTGACTTTTCCGCTTAAATGAGCTCGGGCCCAGAGAAGGTGGCAGTGTTTCTGGATACTGTTTATATATGGTTTCTTCTTTGCGTTTTAGAGTTTTAACTTGCATTTGTGGGTGCAGCGACGAACTGTGTTCACAGACAGTGGTTTTCAGAAGTGTTCCTAAGCCCATGCAGTGATTTCCAGTACAGAACAATGTCTAGTTTTAATGTAGTGCCACCTGAGAGCCCGAAGATCACAGCCAGCCAATACTGGTTTTCAGCTTTGTCCCCTTGCATACAGAGATTTCTCTGGATTCTCTAAATCTTTTAATGATACTGTGTACCCTAGATGATGAAAATCCCCAAGTTCTTTGCTATTTTATGTTGAGAAACGTTATTCTATAAACGTTATATTGTTGCACTATTTGCCCGCACAGTCTTTCACAGAGTGGTGAACCCCTCCCAATCTTTACTTCTGAAAGATTTAGCCTCTGTAAGATGCTCTTTTTATACCCAGTTGTGTCACTGGCCTGTTGCCACTTAACCACCAGGTGTTATTTTTAAGCATTACACAAAACTTTACCAGCCTTTTGCTACCCCTGTGCCAATGTTTTTGAAATGTGTTCCTGGCAACAAATTCAAAATGATCATACATTTTTCACAAAACAATAAAATTTCTCATAGCATCATTGCAATCAACATCATTGCATTCTGTTTTTATTTACATTTTGCACAGCATCCCAACTTTTTGGAGACAGGGTTATAATGTTGATAATGGCAAAACATTGGTAAAATAAGTTTTCTTTGGGGACTATTTTGCCTTTCAATGCCCTGCATGTACCTCTCCATCATGAATTTATTTTTGCATGTCTTAGGAATCAGGCAGCGTTTTCACAACCTCTTCATGTGATTACTTCCTGTGATGCGGCTTTTAGAAGCTTTGGATATCTCGCTTCTATCGCCATGTTGTGAACTATTTTTGATTGTTTAGAAATGAGCATTTTCACATCAAACCACTCTGAATGACTTTGTTTACATCTAAATGGTTTAATTATGCAGGAATTGTGGAAAATCACTGGATATGCCTTTAGCATTCATCATGTAGGTGTTTATAGCAGATAACCACTAGATGATGCTATATCCCAAACTATTTAATGAGCACCTCCGCTCTTGGCCTGGGTCAACCCATGTTAAAACAGGGCCTATTACAGTTAGAAAGAAAAGATCATTTTAACACAGACAGAACTGATAGCACTCTGTGTGTTTACTCCATCTCCTGACTGTCCAGGACTACAGTGTAATTTCATGGGCTGGGTGGATGAAGGGAGGTTTACTGCACCTTTAAAACTGCACCTTTAAAACTGCACCCAGACACAACACACTGAGCTACAAAAAACAAAAACAAAAAAACAAAAAAAACAAAAACAAAACACCCCAAAGGCGCTGTTCTACACACACACTTTCAGCTACCCCCTGACAGTTGGCCTTCCTCTAATGAGAAAATAAATGGACCAATCAAATGCTGCCATCAGGTGTTTGTCCAAGACTGAGAAGCCATATCAAGCTATGCACAGGGGGCCATAAGTCAAGCTGTCTGCCTCAGAGGAGGGGGGAGGTGTGTATGTGTGTGTGAGCCTCCACACACATTTCTCAGCCCCAAATATGTGTATTATCACGTGTCAGATGGTAGTAACAGTCATAAATACCATTCTAAATCCTTACCATGCATCACAACAGAACACAGGAGATCACATTTTAAAGGTCATGTGTAGGTCACATAAACAACACTCTAGAATAAAGCCAGCTAATCACATTCAGAAAATCATATACATATCTTGATCCAAGGTGCACAAGCCCCACCAAACAGATGTCAAGCTTATTAAATACCTAAAAAAAGGGCAAAGGCAGTGAGGCATAAAATGGATGGCTGCCTCTTGGTTTTATGGCTGTGGAAAAGCAGTGAGTGTGCCCGCGTCCATCTGTCACTGCTTTTCTGGACTTGCTTTAGCACCAGCCGTCTGGAAGCTTTGGTATTTTTTTCCCCACCTTTATTCTGACAAGCTCCACCTGCTATTACAAGCTAGTACTGTCCGGCCTCCTGTGCTTGGACTCTCTAGCTAAACTACTAGAACTACTAGCCAATCACTGTATTGGAGGCCGACCGTGTTTAAAAACAGGTGGGAAAAAATAAGCCGTTTGAAATTCCTTGACCGCCACAAAAATAGCGTTTTATAACATCTACATTGGGCGCCACTTTTAATTGCTTCTGATGGAATTTGCAAACGATTGTAGGGACCACTTGAATGTCCAGGTTAGAGGCAAAA